GTGAGGCCAATGGGGATTGAACCCACGACCTCCTGAATGCAACTTTTGTGCCTTACCAACTGAGCTAGGCCTTTGTATTTTGTGCATGTGGTGAGCAGAGGCCCTCAGGGCCACTGCAAATGTGCAGAATTAGAATGAATCTTCTGCTAGAACGTGGAATAATACACCACCATTTGTTCTGTCTTTTGTGCATGTGGTGAGTAGAGGCCCTTAGGGCTACTGCAGGTATTCCTAAGAAAAGAAAAACGAGAAAAAACAGATGAAAAATGAGAAAACAAAAGAAAAACGGAAAAACAAAAGAAAAACGAGAAAAAAAAAAAAAAAAACCGAGAAAACAGAGAATTTGTGTCCCATAACTGTGCTGCACAGAGTGCCACAGACCTGAATTCAAATCAAGACTATATATTCTCGGCCCACCCAGGCAGTATTCAAGTCTAACGTCCCTCTCTAAGGCTCTCTGCTCCACGAGGGGTCCTTGCTAATCTGTAGGGGCCCTTCGGAAATGAGACTGGACGAGTAGATTGGAGCATTTGTGGAAAAAAAAAAAAAAAAAAAAAAAGAATATGCACCCGCATGCACACACACGTGCTCACAGTCTTGGGGTATGGGGTGGCCCCTACTTTTTTCCCTTTTGCAGTCTGAAATTCAGGAGGGAGGGGCATGTTTGGGCACCCCACCCTGTTAGGAGGGGTCATTTTTTTTATTTTTTTTTTTCTGTTTTCATTGTTTGGGCGCGTAGGGCCACGTGTCCGAGGCCCAACGCGCCGGTTTCGTTTTTCAAAACTGAATGGAACACCCCCGTTTTCGCGTTAAACGCGATTTAACGGGGGTCCCCAGGCCCGTTGAACGGGTTCAACGACATTCAATTTCGCCCGTTCTCCGTTCATCGGACACACAGTGCAACCCCCTGTCCTTCAAGCTCCGGAGATCATCCAGGTGGCACCATCATGGTCCATCAGATCTCCGTGTGCTCTGCACCCCCAGTCCAGCGCAGTCGATCGAATCAGAGCGTAAGTTGACGTCATCGTCAATGGCGTGATCTTCACGAAAACTGTTGATTCATACCGCTCGGGGGACTCGTGGCACTCAACGTCGTGTGGGGATGGGGAAGTAGACATTATACATGGAGGGGTGTCGACGGGGAGGGTTGTGGGGGAGTGGGGGTAAGTATCGGTTCATCCCTTTCTCCGTGATCAGGAGCTCCTCGTATCGGATGATTTGGTGGAAGCGGGGAAACCGATCGCCGCTGTGAGGGAGGGAGGCGAGGTAGTCAGGGAAAAGGGTGGAGAAGGTGCGGAAGAGTGCCGCACGAAACAGTTCGTGGTGGCGACACGCGGGGATGGTCCCGGTGATTATGTAGTAGACTTCTACTGCGTTACTCTGTTGCCACGCAGCACTTAACAGGAGGACGTGCAGACAGAACGTGGGGTTCACGACTTGAAGGGAGGGGCTGGGATGGACGGTGATGGCGAGACGGGTGGAGTAAAAGTGCTCGAAAGTATTGGGGTTGCGAGGGAAGGTCACGGGGGTAGAGATCTGGCAAAAGGTGAGGTGATCAAGGGGACGGCGGGATAACGACCGGGGACGAAGACCGATTCCCCGCATCGGTGCGTGGACGAACTGGGGGACGGGTTGGGGTGGAGGGGGAGGGGGATCGGCTCCGTCTCCGTCGTGCTGTGCTCGGAGCCGCGGTTGCTGATCCGCCATCTTCGGGCTCGGGGGGCTCTAGATCCCTGGTTGGGTCGTCAATGATGCACAGGCTCGCCCCGCTGACAATCTCCAACTGGTTTTTCCCGGCGGCGATCTCTTCCCTTCTTCGTGCCGCTTCGGGATCTTCCGCTTCCGTACCTGTACGCGCCGCTTCCTCCGGCAAGTCCTCCCACTCCGATCCGGTCTCCTCTCCCTCGTCTTCCTCTTCTTCTAGTTCCTCCTCCTCACTCTGCTCCCCTTCGCTGTACTCACTATAACTCCCCTCCTCTGACGTTTCTTCGTCGGCGTCGCCCTCCTCTTTGGTGGCTTCCTCTTCTCCTTCAAGCGCCTCGGGCTCCTTCGGATAGAAGGCGTTATCGATGATCCCGTACGGCTTCAAGTATTCCTGTCGTGATGGCAGAGTGCTATCACTCCCAGGTTCCTCCAAGCAAGCGGTCCACTGGAGATACGGCGCCAATGTTCGCATGACGATGTGCGGAGCGGGACTGTCATCGCTCTGCGAGACGATGTCGAGGGGAAGATCGTCAACCAATTGCGCGAGCGAGACGATGAGCTCTTGAACGATAGGCTAGTGATGGCCTGGTCGCACCGATCCGAAGAGGAACCCGAGAAGATCGCCTTCCACGTCCGTTCTCCAAGTCTGCAGGATCAACAACTCTAGGGACTCGATGCACGCAGTCTGCTCACTGGTCCGTGTCCACGTCACCTGCACTCGGGCCAAGCACACAGACAGGTCGACAAAGATCTCGCGCCGCACCCGCCAATGCCCGGGAAGCGAGAAGCGGAATAGCGAGAGGCTCGAGTAAGAGAGAAAGGCGAGGATGTATATCGGATTGCCAGAAAGTGGGGAAAAGAGAGGGGAGACCGAAGGCGGAGAGGGGAGCGAGAGGAGCGGCGCGGTTCATTGGGGGCGTTGGAAGGGGATGAGGGAGTGCGACTGCCGGCTGACGCGGAGAAGTGCGAACGTCGAAGTTCGTCCCGGATGTCGGGAATAGATTGTAGCCCGGGCGCGCGAGACCGTGATGCCAATCAGTCGACACCTGCTGTGCCCACTCCCGCAAGTCAAGATCGCGGTATGCCGCAGAGGGTTAATCGTGCTGATGTCGCCATTGAAAGCAGCAACCATAGTGACGTGGCTTGTCCCTGGAGCCGCTCGTCGATGAAGAGCTACCACCTCTGCCAATACCACTGCCTGCTGACTCCCGGCGAATCGGAACGCAGCAGCAGCACACACTCCCTCGGTGCAKAAAAATTGCGCTACCCTTCGCAGATCAGGACTGAGCCGCGGATAACGAACTTGCAGGATCTCGGAAATGTAGCCACGTGGCTGCAATAGATGATCGCCGAGAGCTCGCTCCGTGATGAAACTCATGGCAAGGACGGGTAGGAAGATGAAAGAGGGGAGCAGGAGGGAGAGAGCGAGGCGGGAACTAGATCGTTTTCGTCCTCCCCTACAGTGGACGAGGGAGATGGAGGGATGTCAGAGTGAGGGAGGAGACGGATATAAGAGGTATAGCGGACAATGGGGATAGAGCTATGGCTGGCGCTTGCCTCGGGCGCGATGTGCACCGTGTTGGCGCCGTTGGGACCGATTTCGACGACGTGGAAGCAGCCAGAAAACTTGGGAGCGAGTTTACAGTCGCGTGCACATTTGCATACTGTCACCCGGTCCCCTAACTTATATTGGTGCTGTGGGCCCGCATTTCCATTCCGAGCCTCGTAGCTACGGACCTGTCTACCGTGGGGTAGTTCGGTCATTTTCTGACTCGTCCGGGCCAATTTAGGTACGGCCCTTTCCATTAAATCGACATACCTTTTGGCCTTGGCCTTAAGGGCGGCACGCGTGTCTCTACCCCCTGCGTCGGCAATTTCCGAGTGGCCCCAGTAATCGACACATGGGAGTCTATTGGTTCGAAGCTGGAAGGGGGTAAACCCCGTGGATTCATGGGGGGTGGCCCGGTGAATTTTGACGATTTGATACACGATCTCGGGCCAGGGACGCGTGTCATTCGCCGCTAGATTTCTTCAAAGGGCAGTCTTAATCATTCGATTGGCATTTTCGGCCAACCCGTTGGATTGGGAAACGTGGGGTGCCGTATTTTGAAGCATGATGCCTCATTGTGCGAGTAATTCCTCTACCTCACCTTTGAACTCGGACCCATTGTCGGTTAGAATTTCTTCCGTATCTAGGTGGGTATAGAGAAACCGATCGATGTATGTGGTTATTTCTGCGGCCATTCGGGTTCTACACGGGTAGACTTCGATATACTTTGAGAAATGATCGATCAATACCAAGAGGATGGAGTATTCGCAACGGTTGGGGCCAGGTGGCACGTCTATGTCAGTCGTATTCATACTGACCCGCTGAAAGGGCCGTTCTACCTCCGTCGGAACTATCGTATTCGGCCCTCGAAGGGGCGTGCAGTCGGCAGCACAGACTATACAGTTAGCGATCACGTGCTTCACATCATCGCGGATATTAGACCAAAACCATCGGTTCTGATCGAAAGTTGTCTCGGTGACACGTATCGCAAAATGAGCGGCTTGTTCCTCGTGCGCGGACCTAGTCCAGTCATATCTATGCAAAAGGATGGGGAATCGTCAACCATAGTCCCGATCCGTCAGTTTTACGTTTTTCTACGTGACCGTTGATCCATCGGTAATCCCGAGATCTCCCGGTAGCCCGACGTCTGTCGTGCTTAGTGAGATGATCCAAGGGTAACCCAGCCAGCTTAGCCAATAGGATTTTATCCTTCCAGACCTCCACCCGTTGGTATTTCTCGTCATAGTCAGGGCCTCCCGTACGGGCAGCCTCGAATCGAACTTCAGTAGGCAGTTTGTCCGTCCTACACAGAGGGCATTTCCATTCCCTACTACTTGTTCGATATCGAACACATGCACCGTGTGCACGATTGACACACGTGGCATAGTTTACCCATTCAACGAATCCGGTCTCAAAAGGATGACAATTCACTCCATATAACCGTGTGATACACGTGCAAAAATAGCAGAATATGTCGGGAAGGGTGGTAAAAAAGCCCGAGCTGGTGAGAAGGCCGGAATCAGCAAGGGAAGAAGGGGTCACAGAGACAGGTCGGGTAGCCATTATAAGAGAAGGGGGAGAGAGAGTGATCTGAGAGGTCAGAGTGAGGCTACGTGTCCTCACTCTTTTGACAAAATTTCCACATGTCCGTATCGCGGTCCGCCTTCCTTCTCCGGCTCGTTCCACATAATCACTTCTTCGATCTTGAGGACCTTCTCGGGTCGGTACAGTCGTGTCAACCCGTCAGCATTCCCGTGCCTCTCGTGCTTCCGATGACGGATGTCAAAGTCCATGCTCTGCAGGATGGTGGCCCATCGTCTGATCATACCCGAGTAATCCTTGGATTTCTTCAGCGCCAACAGCGGCTCGTGATCGGTTACCAATGTAAAATTCCGACCGTACGGATATGCTCGGAAGTGGCTGGTCCCCAATAAGGTTGCGTAACACTCTGCCGTCGGGGCCGCGTAGTTGCGCTTGCAGGTCAGCACCATCTTAGATGCGTATTCCACCACGTGTTCGAGACCGTCGGGTCCCACCTAAGCCAAGATTGCGAAAATCGCCTCCGGCTGCCAATCGGTTATGATAACAAAGGGCTTCCCTGGGTTCGGCCTCATAAGAACTGGGGCCGAAATCAGGGCCGCCTTAAGTTCTCCGAAAGCCCCATTGCACTGAGGGGCCCACATCAACGGTTGATCCTTTTTCAGGAGATTCGTGAGTGGTCCCGCGATTGATGCAAATCCCTTGACGAACCTTCAATAGTACGACGCCAAACCCAAAAAGGTGCGGACCTGCGTTATAGAAGTCGGTACAGGCGCGTCTTTCACTGCTATCACCTTTTGGGGATCTGGCTGCAACCCCTGGCTCGTGACGACGTGGCCGAAGAAGGAGATCTCCGTGAGAAAGAACTAGCATTTTTCAACCGCCACCTTGAACCCTGCGTCCTTGAGTGCGTGTAGTGCCCACTCAATGTGTTGCACGTGTCCCTTATAAGAAGTAGAGAACATAAGGATATCATCCATATACACAATCACACAATAATTGATTATGCTTTGCGCCAACCGCGTTTTTCGCACGAAATTTTGGAAGGCCATGTTCATCGCGCGCTGAAACGTGGTTGGGCATTGCAAATCCCCATCGGACATTTAACCCATTGCCAAGTTCCTTCGAAAAGAATGAACGTCGTTTTCAGGCGGTCTTCTTTTCGAACCAAAAGATGGTGGAATCCGTGTCGAATATCAAACTTGCTAAAGAATTGAGCTTCACCAATAGCATCCAACAATTCATCAATCCGAGGAAGAGGATACACATCTTTAATCGTGATATCGTTCATTTTTCAGTAATCAATGCAGATGTGAATTCCTCCTCCTTTCTTTGGCACAATTACTACTGGAAATGACCATGGTCCGATAGCGGGCTCAATCCAACCATTAGCCTCGAACTCCTTGATTCTTTTGAATGCGGCGGCTCTCTGCGCCGGTGAGTATCGATACGGAGCGCAACTAATAGGTGGATGATCCCCGTAAGGATCGCGTGCTCAATTACAATAGATAGCCCAATATCGTTGTCATCCATACTCAACACGTCAGCATAGCCATGCAATAAATTAATCACGGATTCTCGGACATCCTTGGGGACATGATTGAGAATGACGATTATCGTATTATTTTCCGAGCTCAGAGGCGTGTCAGTCCATTCCAATCTTCGCGGTCGCCTACTATGGACGCTGGAAAACATTGAACTGCTAGTTCGGACCGAAAAGACGGTCGCGATCATATGTGATTCTGCTCGAGTGATCATTTCGTTTTTTTTAATTTCAGCGTCTGTCTCAGGGTCATCGGTGCTTTTGGCTATCCCGACTCCCGTTAATTCCGTCATTTCCTGCAAGAGATCCGGAACATCGGTGATCGGGGTTTCCGCCTTTTCTTGGATCAAGGCTACCACGGCTCCTTGCATGAGTAGCGATCGGGGAGGGAAGACGGAGAGATCCACGTATTGGTCCATCTGCTGATATCTCGCTCGGAGAGACAGTGTGCCCTTATATAATGCGCGAGGGGGTTCCAAAAAATCGGCCATGTCAGAGACTTGCAAGATCGATTCTCCCAAAAAGGTCGTAGAGAGAGTCTGATTTTCAGTAGGTAAGGGACGGCTGGAGTCGCTGTTATCCGAACTTAGATCGAATGTCCGAGTTGTTGCAGGAATCATCTGAAATTCCTCTTTTGTCTCGCAAGCGAACATTTCGACTAACTGCTCCCACTCTTCGTGGTTGGGCATTGCGCGGAGTTCTTCTTCGTACTCGTGCTCATTGAACTCGTCTTCCGAGTTCGAGGGGGGTTCTCAATATTCCGAATCATCCCTATCCAATCAATATCAGGATATTTCCGCGGGGATCGGGTGGAGATTCGGAGAGGGAGCGTCTGGGGCTTCCTTCCCGTTTGAGCGAGGACGAGTTGTCTTGAATCAAAATGGACTCGAGCCCCTACTACCATTGCCCAGGGTAATCCCAACAATATTGAATAAGAATGTACGTCTATGACTAATGCATTAACCAACACATGCACTCGACCTACCTTGATTGCGACATTCTCGATGATTCCTACGATATTCATGGATTCCTCATCGGTCGAGATGTAGTTATCCCTCCCAGGTAGAGGAAGGATAGAATTCAATCGTCCAGTTTTTCGGACTGTGTTCAAGGAGATGGCGACTGCCGATGATCCGGTATCAATCAGTGCATCAAAAGGTTTGCCCCTGACTTCACAATCGCATTCCGCGCTTTTCCATAGGACCGATCGAACTCGTACAAAGTGATCTTTCTCAGCATAGGAGATAGCTGCGATTCGGGCTGGTTCAGGTGCGTTTGTGGTAACTACTGGGGACGGATTAGCTTCGTTTTCGTCTCTCTGTTTTTTTTCAGCATACGCTGAATGGCTGATAGGTGAAGCGCTTCTGATTCTTCTGACACTGCTGTAGAAGTTTGTCATTCGCGGCCTCGGATATAGTCAGCAGATGTCCTACAGGGATTGGCACTCAAATATCTAACTGTTTGAGTGTCTGTAGGAGATCGATTTCTCCTGTCTGAAACTGAGGTCCCGGTTCCGATGTTCTTTCGACCCAATCGAGTTCTTCTTTGGCGGGTTAGATCGCTGTGATCAGACTGGCCAGTTGAAGGAACTCAGTGGGATCGACGACATGCACGGCTTCAGAGGATCCTGACGTGGATGCTCCTTGATCACCCAAGATGGGTTGATCAGTGATGAATGGGGAAGCCTCCCTTGCTTGTTCTAATACCACGACCACTCGTCCCTGGTTCAAAGCTATGGGCGCGGCCGCAGGAGGCGGCTGATTGCGTTTCGGCTGAGGGCAATCTCAAGCAAAATGCCCTGGCTGCTTGCAATTATAGCATTCGATTCTTCCTGCTGGATTAGCCATCTGAAAAGGAGTGGCGGAGTGAACTGGTCCGCCCGCGGAAGGAGCCGTAAGCAACGGATACTGAGCAGGAACGGGGCGAGAAGGGTCAGAATTAGCATTTACCAGTTTGGTCATGATCTGTTCTAGTCGATCCACTTGAGAGGCCTGTATTTGCAATAGGTTATTCATCCATTCGGACTAAGTAGTCGGACTGAGACGAGGAGGGCTCCGGGATAGGGCCGTCCTGATAATCGTGATCGGGTCGGGGGAAGAATCGTTCTACCGCTCTGAGCCAATATCGCTTCTTGGCCGCCACATCTTGGATTGTATCCGAGATGTCTTCCTCTCCCTGTTGGATGTATTTACGTGTATCCAACAGATCCAATTCGAGAGCTTTGGCTATGATGACTAACAGCTGGTTGTTCTTGGGAGGTACTACCTTTTTCTGCAGTTTCGCTTTCAGCTTGGGATTTCGGAGATAATCGATGAACAAATCTCGAGCCACGTTCTCTTCCCGTCCTGCCTTGTGTAAGGCGGTCTGAAATCGATCTACAAAATCAGGTAGTAATTCCCCAGGTTCTTGTGGACGGGCTTTTAGTACAAACCAGGCAGCATCTTCACTCACCGCGTCCAACCGTGCCAAGAACGCTCGTTGAAAGTATCCCAATCTACCCACCTGTGTCTTCTAAACCAATCGTGCACAGTGTTTCGAAGTAGCAAGGTGAGGACGCGAGGAAGATCTTCCGCGCCATAGCCTTGCGCTTGCACGGCTTCAAGCCATGCCTCCGGGTGAGTGTAGTTAGGATGAAGGGAAAAGTGGTGGGGATGCTTACCATCACACGCAGAGGTGCTCCATTGGCTTCGCCCATAGGCATCGCCGGTCGGGCTTCGAAAGATCTTTGCCTGGTCACCGGCGGACTGAGGCGATTAGGTTGTTTAGCGGCTCTTCCTCTCGCCAGCTCGTCTCACTATTGTCAGAACCGACACGTGTCGGCTCCGATACCAACCTCACGCCCCGTGTTATCTTTCGTTCGGAGTGCTAAGCGTGCGAAAAAGAGGCCCAAAAAAACAGCAGGATGGGGTGTGCCAAGGATTTTTGGGAAATTGAGTGTGGGGACACAAACAAAAGTGAAATCCCCCGTGACGAGCCGATGAAGTGAGTCGATTGCTCTTCGCGCGTTGCAGAATGCGCGCGCGAATTCGGCGCGCAAGGAGTGAGGAATACAAATTCAATCTAAAAGTACTGTCGTACTTCCCACCGTGCTATGACCCTTCGTTTAGAGCAAAAAGGCTTTGGCACACTTCGCGTGTCTCGCTTGCGTATTAAGTCACGGCGTCTCTCGCTGATCAGTTATGAGTCCGACGTGGAGGGTCTCTGTCGCGTGGCTCTTTCTCTATGTTCGTCGTCGTTCCGTATACGGTAGTGAAAGCCCTTGGATTCGTAGCGCTCGAAGTGTTGGCACTCATTGCACAGAGTGCGGGGCCAGTGGGGTTCCACTGCCGTCCACAGAATGACGATCAACTCATTAAAGGGCAATAATACCGAGTAGGGCGGAAAGTGAGTATCGATAATAACAAATCCAGCATCCACGAATCCTGAGCAACAATTTTCAGGAGGGAAGTAATACCGTCCGCCAATCTGTGTGACAGCTTCTCGTAAGTCCCACTCGCATACACGTGTCCTTTCCTCGTCATAAGGAAAATGTCGCGTCAGCACGGGGGATACGAGAGGCTGGCGCCCGATCGAAGGGCATTCGTCAGTCCACATGTCAATCATTGCAAAAATCCTGAAACGTCATCAATAAAAAACGTTGCCCGCGCAACAACCAATCAATTCTTTTTCGACGTGCAAAAGAGAGAGAGAGCACTTATCAGTTTGCTCATGCACTTAACCGAGGGACCGACCTGCGACTCAGGTTTAATGAGCCGACGCGGCGTTGATCCGAGGTGCCTTATTTTTTTAGGCCGCTCCGGAGATCCGTTGCAGATGTCGTGCAGCATAAGGCAGATGGCATGCGCAGTGCATTCATAACCACATATCTAAACTCTCTTGCATTCTCGAGCAAAATCCCATCGAGCATCAAGTCTAATCAATGCAAAAAGACGAGCGTCTACATACATACATCCACT